TTTTTTACTGGAAAAAAAAGAGAGAGAGAGAAAAGAACATGTTAAGTAATATTTGGGTGGGGTGGGGTGGGCAGAAACCACCCCTAAGCCTACTATTCTAGCACATCAACCATTTTTATTTTTTGCCTCCTAATCTCTGTCCATATGCATGACAGTTTCATTGGCTGCTTATAGTACATATATTATTTCATACTCTGCTCACTTATGCTAATATCATAAATGTTCCCATGTTTATGCACTGTCTTCATGTATTTTAACAGCAAAGTAGGGTAAATTGGGGTAGACATCTCACTTTCAAAATAACACTTTTCCATATATCCTCTAGAATCACATTGGCAGGCCTCTGCTTGGTAAAGAATTGTATTGTAGCAAGACAATTTATGGTTGGAATGGCAGCCAGCTGACATCTATGAGAAGCCTTGTTCTCCAAAGGATTTCCTTTGAGGGTGATGCCAGGGCTCCAGTCATGCCTGAGCAGCTGAAAATGAAAAAAAGGAAAGCAGGATTGTTTTACAATTGTTAGTATTCAAAAGAAAATCTCAGTGTCCCTGGCAAGCCAACAAAGCTACAGATGTCTACTCTTTCTCCGAACACACCCAGAATGGTGAACCTTTTCTGAACTGATGATGAGAACAGGGTACTCTGATCTTATTTGAGTTTGTAGCAACGAACAGGTGTCCCCTTTGAGAAACGAACCACAGCAGTGCTGTCAAAATCAAGCCGGATGTTCAAATACACAATGATTCAAAGGTGAGTTTCTGTTCAGATTCACTTCTCTGTGCTGACTTTTGGCAGGGACATTTAGCTTTCTACAAGGGAGGCATTAAAATATGGAATATCCTTACAAATTCCCCGGGAAGTAGTGTTGAGGCCTTATTGAAGAGTGAGATGAACTCGGAAGATTTTACGTAGATACTAACATCTGAATACTTAGTTACTTCCTTAAATGGCTGAGCAGATAAGGTGAGATTATTTAATGGACTGTAGTGAGAATTTAATTTTTCACATGAAAAGGAGACCCTCAGGGTAAACTTTTAAGTATAGGTATGAACTTTGGGGACTTTGAAGTATTTTGAGAAAATGATAATACTACCTCTTCTTTATTACTGGACTTAAAACTTTATTTGATATAGTAATGTCTTTCACATGCCAATTTGTTTTCATAAGATGTGTTAGAATGTGAATAAGTAACTCAAGAATGTGTTTATACACTTAACCTTTTACAATAAAATGAAGCTCAAAAAGTCGTGTTTTAAAAATGCAAAGGACAAGCAGCATTTCTTCCTTAAAATTCTCCAACCTTCAGAGAATGTTCTCAAACCTGTGATAAACATTTTTAAAAGAATTTCAAAATAATATGCTGGATAGTTTTATCACTTTCCTTCCTGAGACTTCCACTCTATTAACCTTAGGTTCTATTTCTAATGAGAACTGAATTGCTCAAAAATTTTGTCCAAAGTTCCTCTGCAGTGCTTTTAACTGCCCTGTTGAAACTGGAAATTAACATTTGTGGGGTACCTTTTTTGATGAAGTATACAGATTGGTACAGCAGCACATATTTCTGTCTAATTTAAACTTGTA